GGAGGCCCATAGGGTTGTGAGATGTTGACGTTCCCACATTTTTTAGACAATCGGCTCATAGATGGCGGCAAGGTTGTCAGCCCTACGCGCCGGCCGACCTTTACACCCAAGGATATTCCTGGTACTCATTTTTGTTAGAGGCTGAGTCGACCCCAGGGCCATAGTGCGGCTGGAAGGATTACGTCAGTTGAAAAAAATCCAATGATCTGATCGTCGACTGGATAATTTGGAAAAATATTAGTGGCTTTGAGACCCGTGGGACGTAATGGCGATGAATTTAAATTTGAAGCCTGAAATTAATCATAATATATATACATTCCGGTCTTCCCTCACAGAAAACACTACGTCGTATATATTACGAAGACCACTCAATTGATGCTGTTTCGGAAAGCAGTCGCTGTCGATTGAGAGCATCACGCGAAACACATAATTACACTGCGTGGTGAAAATGCTGAGTTTATCGGAGCGGATTGGTTCATATAGTTACCACTGTCCTGTCCTATAAACGGTTAGCCGAGGAAGTTGCGACGGACAGTACACGTAGCATGCATGCATACTGGAACAAAATGTGGCGGCCGGGGAATGATCGTCGACTGGACTTACTTACTTACTTACTTACTTACTTACTCACTCATGGAGCTGAGCCCTTCTGGAGGAGCCGCCAATTCTGCAGCTACTCAATAACTTCCCAGTCATTTTATGGAGCCCGAAGGTTCATTACCGTGTTCACAAGAGCCCTCCACTGGTCTCTATCCTGAGCCAGTTCAATCCAATCCATACCATCCCATCCTATCTCTCTAAGATGTAGTTTAATATTGTCCACCAACCTACATCTTGGTCTTCCCAGTGGTCTCTTTCCTTCTGTCTTTCCCAGCAATATCCTATACGCATTTCTCGGCTCCCCCATTCGTGCTATATGCCCTACCCACCACATCCTCCTTGAAGCAACCCCTTAGTAGAATGAAATAGCTCATAACGCTGACAGTAGCCGCGGGAGCAAAGGGACGGTCAAGCGAGATGGAAAATAGCCATACCCCATTCATTACTGGTGGCTGGCGTGTATCCAGGGGCAGAACCCTTCTTGAGGAGCTAATAGTTGTTCAGCTAGTCATAAATGTCGAGCTTCGGAAATAAGGATGTAAAAATGAAACTGAACGTTCTTCTGAGGATAAAAGTTCTCTGAGATATGACACCTTATATTCCGGTAGAAGTGTATCGACGTTTCGGGAACGTACTGCATCCACTTCAAAGCAGAGTAAGCCAAACAAGCAGAGCGTTGTAGTTCGTATACATATAAACCAATAAATAAAAAGCGGAGGATGCCTTCATTTGTTATCGAGAAAAAAAAATTCTGAAATCTCGTGTGTTTGGAAGATCAGTTGATGGTATTCAGTATGCAGTTCTGAAATATACGTATAGGTTCTCTTTTGGTTATCTCAAAAACCGAAATACATACTTAGGGCAAAACTTACTGGACATAAAATGTGTGGTTCAGCTTTCTCTACAAGGTATGTTAAACAGTTCTTGCTCCGATAAATATTTTGCGAGTTACGTTCGAGATACGCAGATGAACGCATGTAGGCCTTCATGTAAGGTGCCCGTTATTTTTGTTCGATCTTCACAAAGACTAGAATGTGTGTACAAATTTTATTAAAATTTCAAAATGTCATATTATGAAAAATTCGTACATTCACGGTGCCCCTTTGATAGGCACGCCGCAGGATTACGAACGTCCTCAGAGCTGTCTTCGGTTTTATTATGGTGTTGAGTTATACCACCGTGTAGTTTGGTAAGTTACGTGCCAACGTTTCAGAGGTACATATTTCCTTTATCACTTTTGCTCTTAAGATGAAGACAGCAGTCCCTCCAAAATGTTGGAACCGACCTACCAGACTACAACATAGCATTATAGCTCAGAATAACGGAATATAAATCTTCGCCACCGTGACAGCAGCAGATCTTACCTTTACTTGTATTCTCTTGGGTTGGGAGACCAAGTTTCACTCACATTCACCATCTTCGACACACTTTCACGTCCATACTGCGTATGAGTAAACAAGGCGGGATATGGACACAAAACACACATTACTCTAGCATCTGCAAGTGCCGACATAGAAACGATTTTACAGACTGAGGAAACCGAGAAAAATGGCAGAATACTAACCGACCAGACGCAGGCAATGTCTCGTGAGATGCGTCAGCAGAACCGAGCAGAATTGATGGACTACGTGCTGTAGCGGCAACACCGCGCGGATTGATACAGCAGTCCAGGAAATACGGGGCATGAGATGTCGCTATGTGAGACTGTTGAAGTTGCAAAGAGCATCATTGTGTTACACAATATAGTGAGCTGCTACTTTCAGAGAGGTTTGGGGACGTTGGGATTGGCACTCCTGTTCTGTGTAGGGGTAGTCCCAGCCTCGATTCTGTTTTGGGAATGGATACATGTTTAAGTTACTGTCCATAGGCCAAGGAAAATATTACTATAGTATGTTGGATTTTGAGGTTCTCATGAAGGTACTATCATACGGGATGTGACGTCGTGTAGTTCTATAGAAGTTTACCGACGTTTCAGGGCAACGTACTGCCTCCATCTTCAGGGTCGAAGAGTAAGCGTATTAAGGAGGCAGGAAGGAAAGTTTTTTCCATCCGACTAAATGGCGTTACATTCCAGAACGCGGTACATGGTACTTAAGACAGTACATTACAGGAGGACACAGTCGCGTCTTCTCACTTTTAGTCCGTTATTCCGTATTAACAATGCAAATGCATGTACAGTGCATAACATGTAAGGCAGCTGAACACGGTACCTGAAATAAGGCTCCATGGATTCAAGGCCTCGAAATTTGATGAAGATAACCAATAAGTTCCACACTTCGGCTACTTTTCGCCTGGGAAAGACGGTATTAGGGAACCGTTGTGGACTCTGATGAACAGAAACATTTTTGAACACAGGCTTTCCAGCCCGACAGCTGTGGTAACGGCAGTAAGGGGGCTGCACCCACCGCTCGGCGTGAAGTGCTGAAAGCCGCTGCACAGTATTAATAAGCCATTGCCCTATTTTCCATTAGGTCACGTATCGTGGTCAGCGTTCCT